ACATTCTGGATGCTCTAACGCCCGTCTGGTATTGGAATCGGTACTTCTCAATTGCTGTTTGGGGTCGAGGCTGGTATAATTAAGGAATGTACCTTAAATGATAAGATCAGGCCTCTATAATGTAAGGTATATTCCTTAATTTAGGGGTATTGGGTTCTCTGGGTTCTTAACCAACCCGAGCCCCTACCTTCTACTATGTAGGTGTGTAAGATCCTTTCGGTCATGCTTCTAGAATACCAGGTCGATGTTTTCTAGCGAGCCTGACAGCCGAAGTCTAAAGGCCCTAAGTCCCAAGCCAGCAACCCCTAAACTGTGACCCCCAAAGCTTTAAAGCGCTCCCCCTCTCCCGAAAGATGTGCAGCGCTATGTCTTCCACTAAAGCATTCAATCAAGTCCAAAGCTCTATACATGTCAGCAAAAGCCGTGCTCAAGCTCCAAAATCCCTCGGCAGATTCCTGTACCTGCAAAGCCCCCCCCAGCAGAAATGCGGAACCCATTAAACCCCTAAATCCTACGTCCTTATTGCACCCCTTCGGCAAGTAGCCCTTACTAGCAACCCTTGTGGTAAAGATATAAGCATCCGCTTGAAACGCTTTGTGAGGCCGTGCAGCTTTCGGCAAAGTGGGCCGCGAGCCCAGCCTAGGAGCCATCATCTGCATAAATCAGTGTATATAGACAGATGGATGGATGGATAGATAGATCGGTAGATATAGGGAGAGAGCGAGAGAGATAGACATACAGACAGATAGATAGATAGATCGATAGATAGATCGATAGGTCGATAGCTAAGTAGACAGATAGTTAGGTAGATAGATAGATAGATAGATAGATAGATAGACAGACGGACAAATACGTAAAAACACAATGACAGTGATAGATAGGTGGATATTCTGTACATATATATATATATAGCATGCATAGTATGTACATGCATGTGTGTGTGCATGCGTGCATACGTACATATTATGTACCTACATACATGTGTATTTACTTACTTACATACATACATACCTACTTACGTACTTGCTTGCATGCACGCATGCATGCGGGCATTCCCAATACATATCTACATGTGTGTACATCTATATATATATATATATACAAGGAAAGGAAATACATGTAATTGTAAACGTAAATAAGCATACATACAACATGCATACACATATACATATATACACATGTATATAGACAGTGTGAGCGAGAGTGAGAGAGATGTTCGGATGCGGCATAGAGAACATCTCTGAAGCTGAGATCAGCGACAGCCACATCATCAAGAAGCTGTCTGTGAGCCTGGTCCCGTAATCCTGGCAATCCCTTTTCGGCGCTGAAAGTTTGAAAGTTCAGGTTTTACCTGTAGTCTTCATTGTAATTGTTTAATTGGCCTATTTTTTTATTATAGGATCGTAACCATGAAATGGGTTTACCAGAAAAAGGAACTACAATGGAGACTGTATGTACATGGTCTGGGGCTCAGGGTCTGTGTTTTGGTTTCAGGGAACTTCTGTCCTGCGTTTCGAGATTTTTCTTGCAGCCGGTGCGGCAGGAAAGGGTTCATGGATTGGGTTGCAGACCGCTGTTTTCAATTTCCGCATGTCATGTACAAAAGTACAACACTCGAACATTGACCTGTGTTCCCAGAGGGTCCATATATACTGCCATTATGGAATTAGGTCCCCAAAACCAGAATAAGGATGGTCTTTTGGGACCTAATTCCATAATGGTAGTATATGTGGACCCTCTGGGGTTCTTGGAACCTTAGCCCCTCATTCGCAGCACGGGGACCAGCAGCAACAACACAAAGAGGCCTGAAAGCTCAATTGTTGTTTAGGGTGCTGGGTTTGCAAACTTTTTAAGTATTCGGGAGCGATTAGTTGCAGGAGCTTCTTGTGGCGAATACCTAGCCTTTAGTTCCCCCCAGGATGCTAACTAGGCATTAGATTTCAGGGTGAACTGGTTGTGCGACTGAGGGCTGGGTAACAGATGAGTTTTAATTATTACTTATAGTACTATTTTGGAGTTTCCTTATTATAACGAGTAACTATAGTCTATAGTACAATATGCCCCAAAAACCCCTAAACCCTAAACCCTAAACCCTAAACCCTAAACCCTATTCTAATTATTAAGGCCCCTACATTAGCCAAAGCAACATCGAGGGACTCCCGAGTCCTCGTGACAAGCCAGAAGTCGAACGGTTTAGGGTTTAGGGTT